TGCCACTGTTGAAAGTGATGTTTTACATCTTGTTCTTATATTCGATACAAATTGCATGTATAAAATTGAGTTTCTACTCTTCCAAGCAAACCCTTGTGCAGAATCCTACCAGGCTCCGAGCAACAATGGTGTGATGGGTGGTAGAATTGAGCGAGACATTTGATAAGGCCCATTTTGACATCAAGAGCATCTCACTGCATCCTATACATTTTTCTCAAGTGGAGACATGATATTCTCGCCAGGCAGTAGTTAGTTTCCAAATGATGCTCAGTATTGCTTGGCATAGAGCTTGCTAATTGCTCAACTTGCCACAGGCTCTCATCTCACAAAACTCACCAAACAAACCAGTCAAGAAATCTTGATGTGGAAACCTGAGTGGGTTCTTGCTCGGTCCAACTTGTCAATTGCTCCAGGAGATCCATGTTAGTCATGGACAAACTGTAGAGCAGGACATGATTCACCAGCACTCTTAACATGTACCCTTCTACCATGGACATTGGCATTCCATTTTCAGGGAAACATCGCCACCATCCTGCCATCTTCCAATGCGCTCGCACTGTGTCTGAAAGGGCAGAATGATCTAGGAGGGTACACCAGCAACCAGTAGTGTATGGCTACATTGGGTACAGGTATGGCTCAGGGAGAGGGACTCATTGCGCTGATTTTAACCAGGCTGCCTACCTGGAGGTGTGTAGATGAGGGTACTGTTATTGATGTTCCCTAAGGGTTTAGACGTGTCTCGTATGGCAGTCTGGTTAAGAACCGAAGAGCCCATGGGATCCAGTGCAATTTGGAAAATTGGGTCTAAAATTGGCTTAATGGCAGGAAGTGGTTGAAGGGTGTTTTTTGTGACTGGAAGCCTGTGTCCAGTGGTGTATCACAGAGTTTGGTGCTGAGTTCCTTACTGTTCATTATGTACATTAATGATCTAGACATGAATGGAGGAGGTATGATCAGTAAACTGACAGATGACCTGAAAATTGGCAATGTGGAAAGCCTTAGACTACAAGACAATATAAACGGACTGGACTGGTGAGCTAAACAGAAGCAAATGGAATTTTAAGTTAGAAAGTGTGAAGTGATGCATTTTGGGAAGACAAACAAGGCTAGGGAGTACACATTGAATGGTAGGTCCCTAGGAAGTACAGAGGATGAGAGGGGCATTGGTGTACATGCCCATAGATCCTTGAAAGAGGCCGGACAGGCAGATAAGGTGGTTAAGAAAGCCCATGAGATACTTGCCTTTATTAGGCAAAACAATGAATAGAAGAGCAGGAGGATTACGATGGAGCTCTATATAACATTACTTCGGCTTCACCTGGAGTACTGTGTGCAGTTCTGGCCGACACTCTGTAACAAGGTGCAGAAGAGATTCACCAGGATGTTGCCAGGGCTGGAGGGATTTAGCTATGAAGAGACATGAGATAGGCTGGGGTTGATTTCCTTACACAGTGAAGGCTAAGAGGAATCTGATTGAAATGTACCAGTTCTAAAGGGCTTAAAATGGGGTAGACGGGGAGAAAATTTCCTCTTAGTAGAGTGATCAAATGGTTTTGAGTTAAAGAAGTGGGGGATTCAGAGGGGATTTGAGGAAAGACACTTTTACCCAAAGGGTTGTGGGAATTCATTGCCTAAAAGGGTGGTACAGGAGGGAACCTTCAAGACATGTAAGAACTACTTAGATGAGAACGTGAAATATCGCAGCGTTCAAGCTATGAGCCAAGTGCTGGAAAATGTAATTAGAATAGGTGGATGTTTGATGACTGGTGTAGCTATGATGGGCTGAAGGGCCGCTTTGCGTGCTGTAAAAACTCTACAACTCTAAATTAATGGGGGGGTGGTGGTGAACAGGCAGTTTTAGTCAAATGTACATGGCTTGGGTGATGACCTGGAGAAGTGTGAGGTCTGTGGGTTTGATGGAATGAGGATCTAGAAAGGAGAGGGTTTCTCAGTGAGATTGAAACCACTGGCAAGGACCACTCACTGCTGTTCCAATCATGAGGCATACCGATAGCACACAATGTTGAGGAGAATGGACTTGAAGGGACTCGCAATCGGCAGGGGTGGGGGGATGCGCAGGGTAAGTGAGTGACTTGTGAAGGAGGGGCCTGCATTTCGGACCATACACCGGGCCAACACAAATGAGCAACATTGTTGCCCAACATGGCAAACACATGCATGCAGGGTGCCTGCTCACGGCTATCCTGCAGTATCAACCATCTTAGCTGTATCTCCCTGTTCCCAGCGCTGGCTGGGGAACTTCCTGAGGTACACACTGTTGCGCACTCAGCCAGCTGAACAGGAGGCAATGAGTGGAAACTGGGCTGTAAAGTGTCAGAGAGAAGAGAGGGCTGTGTGTTCACATTGCTGGCCTGTTCCCACTTTATGTATTTGATGATCATGGCAGACTCCCAAACCACTGTGCTTTATTAACAGTCAAGGATTGATGCTGTAGCAGGGCGCTACAGTCATAACAGAGACAGGGACAACAATGTAACACTGAAACGCAAGGGTTTATGAAATGTTAAAACTATTTACATTCCATTTGTGGTGAGAAAAACTTTAAAATGCAAAAGTGCTTTCTAAATAAACTGTGGACATTCTGGACTATGATAAACAAAGTACTTTACATCAGATATACTGACCAACAAACTATACACATGTTTTCCAGCTGTTGCCCACACTTGTCATTGGTACATTTCTCTCCTGTTATGCCTCCAACTGAGCTCCCTGGCTCTGCAAAGGGGCTGTAGGGAGCCTGCTCCTCAGTACAGCCCGTTGGCCCTGGAAGTTTGATTGGGTGACCCAGGGGTATTTGGCTCTGGATAGACCAGACATGCTGAAGGTCTCCGTCATCTCCTGCCAGAACAACAGTCCTTTAGTTGAGGGTGGTGGGGGGGGGGGGGGGGGGTGGTTCCAGCAGTGAGGACACAGGTGTCCTACAAACCCCCTCTCTTGCCGCCCACCCACCTTCTTACATTGTCCTGACCTATTATGGGATGTCTTCTCCTACAACAAAGAGACCAAATGAGTAAGACACAGGTGGGTGGCATGGCTCTGAGGGTTGGTGCATATTGGTCAGGTGTTTCGAGAGAGTGGGCACACAGCATACAGGACATGGGGAAGGGGGTTAGTCATATAGGAGGACGGAGAGGTAACAGCGACAAGTGAGGGAAGGGGTTTCATGCAACAGAAGGAGTATCACAGCATTGGTGGGAGGTGACTGCACAGATAGTGAGAGGCAGGAGAGCGCAGAGTATTAAACTTACCCTGGCGGTGTACAAGAGATCATGAACCTTTTTCCTGCACTAATGCCCAATTTGCATTGTCCTGGAGATGGCATTGACCTGTGTGGTGATCTCCAAACAGGCTAGCACAGCATGGTGGTGTGTCCACCTCTGACAGTTCTCTGGGACAAGAACTCCTCTCCTCTCCACTACCACATCCAAAAGAGGTTTCGGGTCCCTCTCCAAGAAGCCAAGGTGCCAGCCCCTCCTTCTCTTGCTGAGAAGCTGAGTTTACAAATGGCAGTAGACACTGAGAGATGACGCGGCCCCAAAGGATGCTGGACTTGTGGAGGTCCTCCACTGAGCGATAAGTTCCTCTGTGAATGGCACGTGGTAAGAGATAGGGGCAGAGACAGGAGATGATTCTCATCGCAAGGGCTCCACCGCAATCAATGTGACGAATTTCGTAAGATACGGTGCGAAAGCTCGCTCGACCTCAAGGCAAAATTCATTCCACCAAACACACCATGGCTCACATTTAGCCAAAAATGGTAAGATTCAGCCCCAGGTTTGAAAATAACATTAAGGTCTTAAGAACATGGGGATAACAGTGGTCCATTCATCAATTGGAGCCTTTTCCAATATTCAAACAGATCACAGCTCATTTGTATCTTAATTCCAATTCTCTACCTTGGATTTCTAACCCTTAATATCTCTGCCTAAGCAAAATCAATCAAGCTCAGTTTTGAACATAGAACAGTACAGCACAGAAACGGGCCCTTTGGGGATCACTGTTGGGGTGGTGAACTTTGTGAACTTTAAAATGTTAATTTGACTCGAACATCAACAGTTCTTCAGTGAGATGGTGGGGGATAAGATTTCCATTACACTTTGTATATTAAAACACAATTCTTCAGTCCTGCTTAACCTCCACAAAAGACATTGTTCACAAACTTAACATGAACCCACAATGTGTTGTATTGTGATAGCAAGAACTGCAGATGCTGGAGTCATAGATAACAAAATGTGGAGCTGGAGGAACACAGCAGGCCAGACAGCATCAGAGGAACAGGAAAATTAACATTTTGGGTCAGGACTCTTCTTCGGAAATTTCTGAAGAAGAGTCCCCAACCTGAAATGTCAACTTTCCTGCTCCTCTGATGCTGCCTGGACTGCTGTGTTCCTCCAGCTCCACACTTTGTAAGTTATGTATTGTATTGTATTGTATTGTATTGTATTAGTTTTATCTGCGGGCCTGAGTATTTTATCTGAGGGTCACAGATTTTTAGATTCATTAAATCTCATCATGTGAAACTGTTTTTGATGCAAATAAAGAATGAAAAATATGACATGATAATCAAAATTGAAACAAAGGGGAACTCTTGGCTCAGTAAACATTATTCTTCAAGCAAATCATGCAAGGTCATGGAGACAGACCGAGTGATGGCAATACAAACCAATGCTATGTTAGGCTGTCCGATAGCTCATTCGCAGATGGACTCAAATAGGAAAGGGGAAAATACCACAATTCACAGTCACTAACTGTCACACAATATCTAAGATGCACAGATAATGGTCCTCAAAGTGTTAGGCTGTACTGTAATTCTATTGCAAATCAACTCAGTACCATCAGCGGTAAACAGTATCTTAAGGGTTCATGCTTGCTGCAAATATAATCCAAATAATGATCATCTTTTAAAGTTCAGTATGTACCTCAACTTGCATGTACTAAATCATGCTGGCATAATATAAGAATGTACTAAGTCAGGGCAGTACAATAAGAATTTTTTTTTTTTAAGTGTGACATTTTCATAACCATCTTTACAAAATCACAAAATTGGTTTGAGAGTTTGCTATTTACAGAAGCCAATAGAAAATGTTCTTTATATCTACAATAAACTGTTATCTTTTGCACGTAATTATCATTGAAATGTAAATAAACAATAAAAATATTCAAAATGGATATAAATCCTCAACTAGGAGTTTGGCTTGTAGCATGTACCTTTTATAAAGTGAAATGGCCCTCCATATGTCCGCCAGTCTTTTTCTAAAACATTTGTTCATGTCCACTTTCGCAATGTACAAGTACTACAGCTACACAGAGATCGCTTATACAAAGCTGGTGAGCTACAAGGTTATGTACACAAAAGGTATTGGCAGGCCATGTCAGAACTCTTGATAAAGCTTTCAACTTTCACTCAAAATAGAGCAAAAGCTACAGACTGAGTACCACATTTTCTGCAACGTACTTGCTTCAGAAGTACGTCTTCCTTCATTTTGATGGCCACCATGGTCGGACAACAAGTCAGTGTGTTTCCTTTTACACATGTAGGTATCAAGCATTGTTAAACAAGATATGTCAATGAAGAAGTACACCATAGTCCTACTGGGTAACCATTGAGTGTTCAAAGTCTATTTCAGCCAGTGGTGCAATTCAGAAGCTTCCCTGGTGACATTTATTTAGTCTCGTTCTTCTTCATAGCAACTTTACACCATCACAGCTGTAGGCACATTGTCCTAAACATCTACAGTATTGTGTCAAAGTATTGTGCTGGAACAGAATAAAAAAAAAATTGATGCACAATTCAGTCATTTTTATCATCTTCTAATGTCTCATTGGTCGTGTCTGGAGTCGAACCGGTTTGTATCTCTGACGTCCCTTCTGATTCTTCATTATTCTTCTCGTCCTTGTCCTCCTCTTCCTCAGTAATGGCTTGGATTGTCTCTGAGCTTTGGTGCAGGGAGGACTGGTCTTGCTGTTCGAGCTCTGCTTTCCTCTGTTCCTCCTCAATTACCTTTTTCCACATTTCGTGGTTTTCCATCAGGTGCTGTGTAATCTGGCAGAAGACTTTTCTTCGCTTCCTACGTGCCTCTACCGCTGTTAGGCAAGAGTTGAAACATAAAATAAATTAGTTTGCATCTCACTTATATATGGTGATATTATGTGAGCAATAATTGAAAGTCACTGCAAGACCCAGTAAACTAGTCATTCTTGAAAGGCATTTTCCAGATTTTCTGTGAATGACACATTGTACAACAGAGCAATCTACAAATAATCCCTTCCTCGAGTACAGTTTCCACTCTCTTAACATCGTCCATGCTCATCACAGGCTACCTTAAATACTGGGAACATGCTGTTGACCAGTTGCTATTACTGTGGCAGCAATTAAAAAGGCTCCACTTAGAAACTGATAAGCACATTGACTATTTCAGGCAATTCAATAAGGACTTGCCAATTTCAGGCAGATCGGATCTTCATCAATCAGTTGTTGAAACTAGTTAAAGTGTGATTACTTTAATGATGAAAAACTGCTCATAACTGAGAGAAGCAGCTTCTAGGTGAGAATCTTTGTTTTAAAAGTGCTGCTTACTCTGGATTTTTGTTTTAATGTGCATGGTGTCAGTGGTAAAGTCACATTAATTCCAACACATCTACGACGAGCAGTGGAAACCAAACATCAAAGGATTAGCTGTTATACTTACCTCGTAAAAAATGTGTAGCATACACATTTCGGCAAATACAATTTGAAACCTGTCTGAAATGTAACATCTTAATGGTAAATTATCCCATTTCTAATGCCTTTTCAAAATGGTACAATAACATTGAGATTTCAATAACGTTATTTCGAGATTATTTTTAAAGGAACTATAAATGTTGATATTCCCACCCTGGCTAAGGCTACCATCAAGAAATCACCTTCACAACCTCACTGAGGCGGAGTGGGGGGGGGGTCTGGTGATTAAACCACAGCCCTCTCAAATGAGATAACCGTTTTATGGTCCGCTTTGTCTACGGCAACTTTGCTTTTCTGTTATTTATTCATTCACAGGATGAGGGCGTCGTTGGCTAGACAGCATTTATTGCCTATCCCTATTTGCCCAGACATTGCTGTGGGTCTGTAGTCACATGTAGGCCAGACCAGCTAAGGATGGCAGTTTCCCTTCCCTAAAGGACGTTAGTGAACCGGATGAGGTTTTCCAACAATCGACAATGGATTCACGGTCATCATTAGACTCTCAATTCCAGATATTTTATTGAATTCAAATTCCACCATCTGCCATAGTGGGATTCGAACCTGGGTCCCCAGAACATTATCTGGGTCTCTGGAT